GCTCCAGCAGCACCAGGAGCACATTGAATTTTGTTTGAAACAGCTATTGCTAATTTACAGCTTTTCCCAATTAAAAGTTGTACTCTTTTACTGTAGACATAGATCTGGACCTTCCTTTGCATTTTGACTGTAATTTTATTACAAAATACAAAGCTCTACAGTACAGTGACTCCTGATAGATAGGCTTTTAAACATATACATAAAACATTGTTATGGCTGGATTTTCTCATTTTCTGCCCCTAAAAGAATCACACATGTATATAAGAAGACACAAAAGGATATTCAATTCAACATTGTAAGAACCAAAAAATTAAAAACAACCTAATTATCATCAGTTGGGAAATGAATAAGGAACTATAAGTTATATCTGTAATGTAAATGGAATTCCATATAACCATTTATATGAATAAATTATAGTTTAATTGTAAACATAAATAAATCTTAGATTATAAATTTTTCAAACATAAGTAGCAAAATTACTAATATTAAGTATATACTTTAGAAAAATCAGAAAACAGCACTAAACGTTTATGGGTGCATGCATACATAGTGAAAATATTGAAGTATGTTTGAGAATAGCACACACAGAGTACTGGATGCCTTAGGAATAAGGAAGGAGGAAAATGTTTTAGAAGGCTAGGGCTTTAGATAGACTTGTAATGGTTTATTACCATTTCAACAACAAATTTGAGTCAGATATGGCAAAATAATAACAGCTGTTTGAGATGATGAATACTTGAGCATGCCAAGTAATCTTGTATACTTTTCTAACGTTGGAAATATTTTCTAATAAAATAAAGAAAAGCTTGGTCACTGCAGAAAAGTTGCAAAATACAAAGAAGGGCTTAAATGGAAATCAAGCTCACCTCATTGTCACTATAGTTAGATTTAAGTCTAAGTGACTTGAACAAGTTGCAAAAACTGTATCATAGGCCACCTTCTGTTCAGGAGGACTGTGTTTAAGGGCTGTCAGTTTAAATCAGTTTTTAGAAGCCTAACAGCCCAACTCCAGTGTGGCTACTTTGATGGTTTAACCCAAAGGAAGAATTCAGCACGCTCTTCAGAAGTAAAAAAGCATGAAAAATTTACACATGCCAATAATAAGACCACGTCAATACTGCTTAACTATATATATTTTACTATGTTAA